TAATATCCAGATATGAATGATCGAACCCATCTAGATAGCAAACCAACTCTTAACTTATCCTTGACTATTAGCCACATAAAATATATAGCTATATTTCATTTAGACAAAAGTTTATTCTTTTCAAACAACTACAAGTTACCACCAGAAATGTTCAGTCTGCTTCTGGCCAAGAAGAAAATCATGCTATGATGACTCTATAAGATGAGCTGGCCCACATAAATGTGGAAGAGGCATCCAAATCCTAACAATGTTTTTTTTTTAAGTGTTCTTTAAGTCAGCAGTAAATGACAGCCAAGGCATTTGATCATTTTGATTCACCACTTTTAAAGGTGCCTTAACAAAATGTCTTTAGGCAGACTTCCATCTAAGTATAAAGTTAAGGAATTCTGTTGCATCATATTCTCAATAAGGTTCTTTATTACTGTTCTGATCCAGCCTTTTTAAGTAATGAGAAACTGCTTACTCGCGAATAAAACAAACCCCTTTTTATTAAAACAGGGCAGGAACAATCTTTGTTCACTTTGGGTAGACGAAACCAAAAAGAAGTAGCCACGAGGAAAGTCTTTTCCCCTTCTGACACAGGGCAAGTACAGTTGCTGTTCACTTGAGATCTACAGATAGAAAGTCTTTCAAGGATTAAATCAAGCAGAAACAGTCCCTGTTCACACTGGCTGAAGCAAATTCACTACTTATTAGTTCCCAGCAGGGAGACTCAGTTGGCACCACAAATACAGAGCAAGTAGTCCCGACAAACCTGGTTTTGGTAAAGGAATCCGACTTGATTGATGCACCCTGGAAAACAAACGGTTATCGGCAACAACAGACCATTCCCAAACCCCTACTATTTATTTCCCTATTTAGTGTCTACGTCTTCTTTTCCCTGAGAGCTGGCTTATTGCTTTCTGTTGCTCTCTTCTCCTCTCCTCTCTATGCATATGCGCATTTGGGACAGGGCCCATCTGTTCCTCCCCCTCACTCATCTCAGGCTCTGAAGACAACAGCCTCTTAGCCTGGGCATGGACAGACGACCCCAGCTCTGCATCTGCCTCTGATTCTGCTTCTTCATCATTGCCTTCCAAAGGTTCCAAAGTTGACCCAGACTCCCCCTCCCCCTCCTTCTCTGACTCTGCTGCTAGCTGTGCTGGCAGCTGATGGACCACAATAATTATGCACTCTCTATATATATAGTTCTTCATTGTTCATTATTACTTTTTCCAAGGCTAAGCAATAGTGATATTGGTCTAGCAACATGTTTAAAGAACAATGTCTCAGACCTATGATTCGGTTTACACACTGCACTGCATGATTTGTTTAACTTAGGCTATTGAATAAACTACTATTAGCTGAGTTCAGTAAAAAAAAACCTGAGCCTAACACAAACAATATAATTGGTAGGATGTTGTGCAGAGCTCTAGATGTGTGTTGCCAAAATCCAACTGTAGCAAGAGTGAGTTTCCTGAATCTCTGTATTACTATTTGCTGGCTACATGGTTTTTTGTAATCTAGATTGGTGGTTCTAAGATTGTAGGAATTCAGTCTCTATTTCTGCCCATATTAAACGCAGAGCATATTATTATTTATTAGGCTCAGCATAAGTTTTATATTCTATATAATAGCTACAGGTAGTCTTTGAGTTATGACCACAATTAAGCCCAAACTTTCCATTAGTCATTAAAAGCTAATTTCATAGTTCTCATAATTCCTATGTGATACAGTCATTCTGAAATTATATTTTTGCTCCGTTTGAAGGGATCTACATAATCACCAAAGTTTTCTCCCCATCTACAGCAAAGATGCTGTGATGATCCAGGGCACAACACAGAGGCAATGCAGTCAGCTGGCAATTCAAACCACCCTTTAATTGCTCCAAATTTTCCCCAAATGCTCCCACATTTCCGGCAAGCCTCCAAACAAAGGAAGACACACATGCCTTCAGCCACCTCTAGCTGCAAGTAGTTTCACATACAGTCTGATTAGGGAAGGAATTTACTTAAGGCCATGGAGATAACAAGGAATGACACATAAATCATAAACCTAATGATTCTGGATGAATACATGCTTGCCTGAGCAGTTTCAAAAGGGAAGCCAAAATACAGTCCGAGATCTTTGAACATCCAAGCAATATTGTCAGCCAGTCCAGTGCTCAGAGTTTCTGGGTTTCCAAGCAGAAGTCACAGAACAAGAGATCAGCAACAACACACACAAAACTCCAAGGAATCAGCATTTGTTCCCGACAAATGCCTCTTCCCACAGCATCTTCTTAAATCTCATTCTCCAGGTGTGCCTTGTGGAGAGGGGCGGGACACTCTCTTCCTGAGTAGTTGAGCCTGCATGCATTGTTCTCTCCATCTCTCCACTCTCGGTGCTCTAGGATCAGGTGAGGGTGGCCCTTGGTCATCGCCTGAATTCGGTCTCTCCTGTTCATCCTGTCTCAATCCTGAAGGGCCCTGGCCTACCTCAGCCTGCTTTTCCCCACATTCCTCTGAAACCACAGACACCTCTCTCTCGATCTCCATAGAGTCCCATTCCAGCTCATTTTCCTCCGCCGATTCAGGCTCTGACGGAAGCATGACAGATGCCATGGTACTTTGCTGCTGCCATCCCTTTTGTTCTCCAGCCATTCTTTGTGATGGTTTTACTGATTTCATCAAATGGTAACTGGTTTTCTGACTTTTTCCTCCTCACCATGACAATAAATGTGAAGATTTAGGCAACAGCTGACTGCTCTTTTAGACATTTCCATTTGTGCAGTAGCCAGCAGTGTAAAAGGATGGATTACCAACAATTGAGATATGTATATAGAACAGATAGTCCTTGGCTTACAACAGTTCATTTAGTGACTGTTCGAAGTTACAACAGCACTGGAAAAAGTTTCTTATGACCATTTTTCACTCTTACAACTTAGCCATGGTCAAGTAATCAAAATTCAGATGCTTGGCAACTGACTCATCTTTATGACTGTTGCAGTGTCCTGGAGTCAGGTGATCCCCTTTTGCAACCTTCTGACAAGCAAAGTCAATGGGGAAGCCAGATTCACTTAATAGATAGATAGATAGATAGATAGATAGATAGATAGATAGATAGATAGGTGGGTGGGTGGGTGGGTGGGTGGGTGGGTGGGTAGGTAGGTAGGCAGGCAGGCAGGCAGGTAGGTAGATAGATAGGTAGATAGGTAGATAGATAGGTGGGTGGGTGGACGGACGGACGGACGGACGGACAGACAGACAGACAGACAGATAGATAGATAGATAGATAGATAAACCCTTATTGTTATTTTTTACTGTGGGCACAATGGCACACATTAAAAATGAAAGTTAGTTGCTTGCTCTCAAAGTGTACATATACATAACCATGTTACTAATTTAGCAACTTCTGTGATGCACTTAACATTTGTAGCAAGAAAGGTTGTAAAAACGAGGCATTAAATGTTGACTATTTTAACAAATATCTCACTTAGCAACAGAAATTTTGGGGTCAATTGCGATCGTAAGTCGAGGACTATCTGTAATGCAAACTTGCAGAAAAAAGTAAGAATCCTGAGGCTAATGGCATTATGGAAGTACCCTCAACACTGTCTAATGTGAATGAGGCTGAGAACTTTTCCCCGATGGATAAAAGAGGCACAGGAGCCCGATTTAGATGGACCAAAGGGGGAACATTTTGAGTACCACCACATCTAGTATTTCTTTATTTTTTTTATTTAATACAAAATAGATTTCAGATTATTTAATGTATGTTCCTCTATCCACAGGTTTATTGGACTATTTGCACCTTTAAAATCTTGCTGTACCATACCAAGCACAGCCTTTTCCAATCTGGTATTCTCTAGATGTGTTGGACTAAAATTCCTAGAATTTGAATTCTGTATCCAAAACTTTTCTATTGCTAACCTGGCATACACTAATGAAATTTGTTAATCAAACATAGAAAGATGAAGCTGAGTTTCATTCCTGAAGTCATTCATCCATGCAGTTTTCATGGTAATATTGCAGAAACAATTTTCCAATTTCCAGGAGTTTCTCTTAGTAACCAAGCCTAACTTGCTTAATTTCTGAGATTAACCAAAATTGCTAAATGCTAGCAAGACTGTTATATACACAAAGTTGGGAAAATATTGAAAACCCACAACAGAGAAATAGTGAAGATGGCAGAACTTGCAGAACTGGTGACATTAACCAGTTTGATCAAGAACAGGATAACAAATACTTTTATAAAAGACTGGAAAGCTTTGATGGGCTGAAAATGGGGAAAGATTAATTTGTGGTTTATGGATGTTCTGATTAAAAAGATTGAATATGGGAAGAAGAGTGTCATACTGTAACTTTAAAAAGGGAGGAAAGAAAATGAGTTTGTTTGTAACTTCTGCAAAGAAGATCTGAAGTCATTTCTATATATAACTTTTCTTTTCATCACTTTTTTCTACCTGAAACTGTTTCTTCTATTCCTTTCTCTTTTTTCTTAATTTCACTCGAAATAATTTCATCTTTATCTTTTACTTCTGGAAAAATATGTAGTTTTTCTTACTTATTTTTAAAAGTATTAAAAATATAAAAGTATTTTAATACTTTTATAAAGTATATGTATATGTACATTCAATTCCTGCTAGAGCCAGGAGATGGCACTAAAAGCAAATGCTTGTTTGCATTGCTTGGAAAAGAAACAGTTGCCCTAATTTTACAACTACTCATCATATTTTTATTTATGAAAGCATTTTCTACATTGTTTGGGTGTGATCCTTGTAATAATGATGCATATATTTTATAAAAGGATGGTAAGTCCAAAACTAATTCATTAGATATATAATCAGTTAAACTGTGATGCTGGTTTAAGCTAGAATAGGCATTTCCAGGTTAGCATAAAACCAAAACAGTACATTTTCAGAAGGTATCCCGCACAAATGGAACAATCATGTAAACTAAAATATGTTGCATGCCAGAGGACAATGAGTGCTAGACCATTTTCCATCTATAATGCTTAAAATCTCCCTCTTCTCTCTCCAGAACCTCCAGATCCTCAACCTTCTTGATTTGGTGGCTTCCATTTTGTCTGTGTGGCCTTCTAATAAGAGGCACATCTGTTTTGAAAGAACAAAGGAATGAAGAAGAGCAAGGAGGAGGAAGTTGACTGATTGATTTTGTCTGGAGATATTCATGGATAATTGAATTGTCTCCAGGCTCTAGAGTTAACACAATTGTGCATTGTGCTATAAACCAGCTTCCCAGTACAGATACCAAGTCAATGGGAAAAATAGCCGGCTGTGAAATATACCTCTTTTTTGTTCTCCATTGTTTATGGCAGCAGAAATATTTCAAATATTATAGTGTTTTATCTTTGTTAGGCCCGTCTTATAAAATTCAAAGTTTTATTTATTGGTCAGAGTGCATTTAATGTTTTTCCCCCCTAAACTAAAGTGATTAGGTTGTTTGAGGTCTTTGACTGGCTTCATGTATCACACTAGCCCAGGAGTCACACATGATAAGGTCTAAATCATAGTTTGAAGTGTAATGTATTCCCTGGAAACATAACTTCTCCTGTGATCTTATCCAATGCACCAAATGTTCAATATTACAAAATGTTTAAACAAATATTCGGGATTTTGTATCTGTTATTTAGAGGCTGAACCTTTTCATAAACAAGCATGCTTTCAAAAATACATTTTGGGGGCTATTTAAAAACAATGGTTTCTATAAGGTATCCATAAGGACTTTAGCTTTTATTTCTGGGTCTCTCATGGAATGTGAGATAAAGTTCTTTTGGATTCTTGTCCTTTGGAACAATGCAATTATAATCTCTCTTGATTAATTTTCCTTTCTTCAAATCTTTTTTCTTTAAATCTATTAATTTACCTCTTTTTCCTATTTTTTGTGTGAAATAAAGCTTAAAAATCTCTATTATTTCCTAAAACCACCATAATTTCTTCCCTTTCAGCTTAAGGTGTGTTATGCAGAGAATAAAGAATAGTCAAACAAAGTAAAAGATATGATAAGAAGAAAACATAGCTAAATAGTAAGTTTTATCATGCCTTTTTATCTTTGTAAACCACCTAGTTTGTAACAAAGCAATATCTCATGTTCAAATTTTGTTTTTTAAGCTTAACTGGTTTTTTTTTTTTTTTTTTTTTTTTTTTTTTTTTTTTTTTTTTTTAGGATTTCGTAAGTTTCATCCAACCACAACTTTCTCAATTTTCTCTGGCATCTTGACCCACACTGTTCTTTCATATGTTTTTAAATCTTATTTTAAATTATTACAATATATCTCTATGTTTTAAAATCTCTTCTTTTAAAGCATTATATTATATTGACTGTGTTCCAATACTTGCTCCCCCCCCCCCAGCCCCTGAAAAAGCTGACATATTTATTGGAAGCTGAGTTTCATATCTGGCCTGTTCAAGAACTCTCTTCTTCAAACCACAAGGATTTTGCAATGTTAATTTCAAACTGAACTGAACATACATCTGCTACTTCTATTTTATTTCATTCTTAAATCCTACCCCCCACCACCACACACACACCATAAAAGCAATTTAGTTGTGTGTGGGCTTTTCCCCTTTTGCATCTAACCATAGCATAAAGCTGACTGGCAACTTTTAACCTGGCAACTTCTACTTTTTCTCATTATATTTATATGGATTTTGTTTTTATGTTTGCTAACTACTCAGAGTTTATATATATATTCCATTATACTTAAGGTCTGAGGGAGGAGCCTTACTTTTAAGCTAAGGCTTTCTGGAAGGCCAATGGTATTGGGGAAGGCTGCTCCATTTTGCATTTGTGGCAAGAGACAAGACACACCTCCTAAATCCCAAAAGATGGCACTCTTTCTTAGATGGTTAATTTTGTCTCCTATTCCAATGCCATCCACAGAGAGCCTCAAGGGGTGTGAAATCTGTTAGGACCTAGGTAGTCAGACAATTGCAGGGCCTTGAAATGGTGGCAAAAAAGGCAGGATAAGAACCAGGACTGGGGATGGATACTTTCCCGCTGACTTAAAGATGAGTGGAGAACTTTTCAATTCAGTTATGGGAAATGTGAGCCAGAATTAATTTACTATCTCTGTAATTTCCCTTTCCTTCATTACTCTTAGGATAGTATGAATCTTTGGATGATGTGGAATTTTATTTTTATTTATTTTTTACCATACCTTCTCTTCTGTGCAAGATTTAGAATAAAAACAAATTATATGAAATCAAAACAGATTCAATTCCTTTTTAGATTCTCCAATTATTTCTGGTGGTGAGTCAGCACTGTTAGATGTTTCCTTAATATAAGCCCCTCTTCAAGCATGGAAGCTTACTTTAATCTACTTGTGAAGTGCTTCTTATAGGGGGAAAATGGAAAAACATGCACTAATTATACTGTTTTAGTTCCTGGAAAAAATGACTGTTAACCTTGCAAATAAATAAATCAAGAATGCTCCCCATCCTTTTTAAAAAATCTACTGCAAATTAAACAGGTAGTCCTTGACTTACAATCACAATTGGAATCAGAATTTCCAATATTAAACAAGGCAATTGTTAAATGACTCGTGCCTAATTTTATGATCTCTTGCCTTGGTTGTTAAGCAAATCACTGCAGTTTTTAAGTGAATCACACAGTCATTAAGCAAATCCAGTTTCCACCACTGACTTTGCTTGTTGGAAGCTGGCTGGGAAGGTTGCAAATGGCAATCGCACAACCCCCCTGGGATGCTGCAACTGCAGTAACACATGTCGGTTGACAAGTAATCCAAATTTTAATTACATGACTATGAGGATTCTGTGATAGTTGTCAGTGCAAGAGGACCAGTCATAAGTCGCTTTTGTTACTGCTGGTGTAACTTTGAACAGTTGTAAATCAAGGACTAGCTATAATAGTTCTTCTCTTCTGAACATCAATGAAAAAATGAAATTATTAGTTTCTTTTTGGGATATTGAAAAAAAGATATATTGTGTGCATAACTGTAAAATGTAATACATTTTAAAAATTATTTGGAACAATTGCAAGCAAATTCTAGGAGGTGTTTCTATATTGCAGCCTGTGGTACATTGAAGCTGACATCTTAATAAATATATTTGTTTGTAAAATACCATAAGACTGTATTCTTTTGGAACATTTGTTTACAGTTAATTAATTGACATGATTAAAAAAAGTCACATTCTTTTATAGCAGCCATGCATTGCTCTTTGGGAAAGGAACATGGATGATAATTTCAGTGTGTATGGAAAGCAAAGATGACTCAGGTGACTTATAAGTCATGGTAACTAACATAATGACATGATATCAATAATTACTGGCTCTGCAAGGAATACCCATACTGTACCCCTAATGCCAACTCTCCAATATGTACTGGTAATACAGTATATATAAAGTATTCTTTACCAAGAACTATTTATTTATTTATTATTCATTCGTTTGTTTGCTGTCCATCTTGCAACTCTAAGTGGCTATTTGGCCAAAGTTGAATGTTCTTTTTTCATGTCCTTTTAGAATTTTCATATCAGGTATGAAACATGATTGTCCTCAAGAGTAACATCTCAGGACACTGTTGGATAAATGTATATTTTATTGCCCTCTCCTCAAAGAAATAAAATCTGCCTCAAGTCCTTCATGCATGCAAATTGGACAAATGCAAGTGTCTTCTCAAAGGCATACTTTGACTATCTTTCAGCTCTATGGAAAGAAATGCCACAGTTCCTCAATCTAGAACTACCTCAGGCTGCTATAGAAGCCTTTCTCCATATGCCCGTGGCCCAAAATGTGGGGAAGGCACTTTATATCTCTTCAAAGGCACACTCCATGGTTCACAGCCATTTCTAGCTTTGAGTTTTGAGATCTGAATGAAATACATTTTGAGCATACCAAATTGCAGAAGGCTCTAACAGAACTTAGCATGCCAGTAGAAGAGAATATATATAGCTCAGAGTTACAGAATGGAGTTTCATTACTTAGTGTGCTTCAAAAATAAGCATTCTAATATATAAATATTGAGAATTTTGCATAACGTTACAAAAATGGGAAGGAAAGGGAAGGGCAGGCGAGGGAAGGGGAGGGCAGAGAGGAAGGAAGGTTATGAAATCCAGTATTATGAATTCTGACCTTTCAACAGTTAATTACAATATTATAATTTCTTCTCCCTCTCAGATGTTGTACAAGTCACTTCAGGCCCCCAATTGATTCATATTTTTTTAATCCTCAAAACTGTAAATGATATCATATTTTTTCTTCTTTCAGCAAAAAGTCCATGTAAGGTTTCCAGTCATTCAAATAAACTTTTTTTCTCTGACAGGTCAGTTTCGCCATCTCAGCAAATTCTAACATTTTCATAATCCCATTCCTCCATTGTTCTTCATTGTTCTTCCATCATTGAGCATACAGTAATCTTGCTACAGTTACCATTTAGAATAATAGAATAACAGAGTCTTTTCTAATTCATTGTCCATAGGTCTCACTGTCTCAGTAAAAAAGAGTGTCGTTTCTTCACAATATTATCTTTACAATCCTTTGCATCATTATATGAATCTGTATACAAAATTTCTTAGCTTGAGACAAGCCTTTATTGAATAGAAATACCAAGCATTTGGCAAAAGATAGGTTTTATATCCTTCAGATCAAAAGAAATAATTTTTAAATCAGTGTGATTGGATTGCTGGGCTGTGATTTAATGCTGAAGACACTTTAAAAATATAAAAACCACAAGAGGACTGATTATGTACTGGCTTGTCCAGAAACAATTTGCCTATGAAATACCAAAATTTAGTATTAGTAACTCTCTTAAGTAACTACCAGTTTAAAATAAAACATAGTAAAATATAATTTGAATAAAACATATAATACAAGAAAATCAAATAAAGTGAAAATTGAAAGTACCATATAAACCAGGCTGCAGCTCATTCAAAATATAAAACAATATCAATTAAAAAGCCTAGGAAAACATAAATGTTGCCAAAATGATACTAATATGAGCCCAAATCAAGTTTCTCTTGGGTGGGAATTCATAAATGTCTGTAAGCCAACTAGAGTTGCCTTTGGCAAGATGAGCAGCATACAAACTTGATGAATGAATGAATGAATGAATGAATGAATGAATGAATGAATGAACAAATGAATGAATGAATGAATAAGGAGCTATCACACAAAAAGAGGCCCACTTTATCTCCATTTTGGAGGTCTGGAAAAAGGCCTCTTTAGAAGAGTCTACAATCCAAATAGGCAGTGCTTTTTTTGTAAAAAAAAAAAAAAAGGTGCCGGAACTCACACACATTATGCAACTCGCCTTGCCTACCCTACAAGGTTCCATCCAAAAAAGATACCAGAACTCTGTTCTGGGCATTCTATGACAAAAAAAAT